AAGAGCAAGCTTTAGTGGCGTAAATGAGGGTAAAAAAAAATCTCCATTGTTAGGCATGGTGAGCCTCAAATAAGTGGGGAAAAGAAAGTCAACTACTCAGGGTGCCCATAAGGAGTAAGAGCTAAGCGATTAACTAAGGGAATAAAGTGCCCATGGCTGTTAGAGGCCGTTCATGACTGCCACAAAGCCAACCTTTCATCCTTTCAGCACGGTTCCTATTAGAAAGTGGACAGAAGGGGATAAAGAAGAAAAGAAAAGAAAAGGGGGAGAAGAAAGGACTATGCCAAATTTAGTTCAGGCAAAGGGCTAAGTCCCAAGGTGAGGTACTGAGTCCCAAGGTAGGCGTGATCCCCGACATTCAGTCTCTATCTCCTAAACCTTCCCACGACAACAATGAGCAAGGGATGGGGGTGGAGGGGGTTACATGTATAAAAGTTATATGATGGAGAAAAAAATGTTAAGCAGTCCTAATGGATTTTTTTTTATACAAACAACGATCAACTGACACCAAAGTAGCTTTTTTTAAATTAAAGATAATCGCATTTGATCTTTGCCCAGCAAATAAGCAGTCACCAGTATAAAAGACAAATTATTGCAATTCCATTTTCATTAGTACTAGACTGTAGTAGAATTTTATATTGGTTTATTGTTTAATTGATATTGATGCAAACATAGTGAGTTCATCACTGAACCTAGTAAATATCTAGCCACTTTCAACATGTTTTTACTAGTGCATATTAGAATTTATATTTATGCAGTATTTATGTAATTACGTGTACAGAGGTATAAGATGTGTATTTATGTAATTATACAAGGTAATAATGTAATGTTTTCAGTTCATATAATCATATATTTTCTGATGATATGACATTGATGTATTTGTATTAAATATTTACCAGCATAAGGCTGTATTTAGTCTTACCCCTCGTTATTTATACATGCATCAGATTTGATTTATTTGTAGTCTTTCAATTAGCAGCAGTGAGTATTAGCAGATCTGGTAGGGGGTACTGCAGGCTCTTTTACATTTTAAAATTGTCCTACAGTTATAGATTTATCAACTGGAAGGCCTTGATTAGTATGAAAAAAGGCTCCAAAGTTATCTGAAGTGTTTAAGTGTCCTGGTCTTCACAAAAAAACATGAAGTATGTAAGTGCTGCCTGAAAGTTTGATCTGGATTCTTTTACTAATTAAAAATAGTTTTTGAGAGGTTTTCCTTGTGATTTTCTGGATGTTGATGCATAATTGCTGGACAGTTTTAAAGCCTGGTATTTCCTGGTTCTGGATAATAGCAATATGTAGTTTCTAAAAATTTATTATAGGTGTACTTGATTTTTTTTTTTTCCTTTCATTTCATATCCTGCAAAAATTCTTCTGCATTTGTATTTCTATGTAATTTGCTGGTATCCTTTAGAGTACATGTATCATCTATGTTTCATGTCTTTCAATTCACATTTGCTTTAATGACATGTCCTGGTCCTACTTGTCAAAAAAATTGATACGAAAAATTGATTGACCATTATAAATATCAGGTCGAGTAGAACCCGTCCCCTCTTAATGCGTCCACCTAAAATGAGGAAATTGGGGAAACCCTATGGCAATTGCTTATCATGCTGCATTAAATGTAAGTTTTCCTAACCGAGTTTATGCATTGAGATCATAAATTCATTACTGATAATTCTTTATGTATTTTTGAGTATGCGAATCATTAGAAATGATGCTTGATTTGATGATCATCGTCATGTCTTCATTTACTTATCAAAAATTATATCCAGGATAGTGTGTGGATGTCCTTTCCACCTACAAACCTTGCATGTTCAACTTTATTATGTTATAGCTCAAATTTATTTTCCGTTTCTAAAAACTTCCAAGATATCTGGGGAGAATAAAAAATGGTTAATGGTTGAAACGAATAAATGTGCTAGACATCTAAGGTAATACAGCACTATAGTAAAGTATTGTGGTGAAAAGGATAACCGAGTTAACGATCAGTATAAAGTGTACTTTAAAATGTTTTTCAACCCTAAGAAGCAGAATAATTAGTTTTAATAAAAATTCATATTAGTGTTTGTTCTTTATTTGTTGCATAAAAAATACAGATACATCTTGGCCTTAAGAAATTCAATTTATGCAAGGCTTCAGTCTTTGACACAGTTTGTATTACAAGTTAAATCCTCACTGCACAGTGTATTATACAAAAAATTACAAAGTTTTGTGCTTGTAAACCGTAAAAAATAACACAATCATCATTAGGAATTAAAAGAAAAAATAAAAGACAGAAAAGATGAAGGCTTAATTCATACTTTGGTAACTATAAGACAAAAGAAATGAAAAGAGTTTAGTCAAGACTGTAACATCTTTGTCAAAACACTGTAGAAGTATTTCCTTAAAAAAGTAAACTTTTCAGCTGCGGTGAAGGCACATTACCTTTGAACTTCGAGTAAGAAACATGTATGCATTATGCATTATATGTACCATTTCCTATGACAATTTGCATAGTATCACTAAAAAATAATTCACACTTATAACAATATCTAACTGGTATCTCATATCACTTTGCTTCACCTGAAAGTTATCCTTTAAAAAACATTCATACAAAATCGTCATGGGTGCAGGCTTAAATCACTTAACAGCCTGTGACTTGTCCTCAGGTCTTCTGAATCATCATGGTGAACAGTTGCTGAACCTTCACATTGAACTCGTTTTGCATGCCGTTCTCAAAGAAGGTAGTCATAATTTCTTGCTTGAGCTTGGACAGACTAGGGATGGCAGCGCAGGAGGGTACATTCAACAGAGTGGAGAAGACCGACTGCCACAGCTCCTTCTTCCAGTACCTGTGTTTGGCATTTGAAAATGAACCAATGTTATATCTATACTGTGATGCTACAGGATTTTCATAATGAGAATATTGAAAGTACCTTCAAAATCTTATAATTTATTAAAAACAACAGGTTAATTTAACTAGATATATCACAATACTCTATGAAAATGCAACAGTATGTTATTACCTTTTAAGAGTGACACCCTTCAGTTCCCACTGGCCACTCATACTCTTCTTGACATCCATATAAGAACCAAAGAGAAGGCAGAAAGCAACTGCTGCAGCTCCATAGAGGTCAGGCTGGTAGGTCCAAGGCTTGCCTTCTCTCATTTCACAACAAGTAAACCCTTCTGTTGTTACCTGCAGTTATAGGAGAGGGAGAGGGCTTTAAAACCAAGAGATTTTTCTTTTTCCAAAATTTGGTTAGACATCTGTGCAAATGCTAATAAACATTCAGACTTTGACATTTACATTTTACTAGTCATTTGCTATAGTTATGCAAATGCAAACATTGTTATTATCTCTGAATAGTGAATGTCTTCATATCTATTTTGCTTGTTTTACTAATTAAATAAACTGCTAATAATGATATAAAATTGAATATAACCAGATAATGATAAGTCTACAAATTTATGATTACTCAATACTTTGAAAAACATCTCCTTTACATACCTTTTCCACAAAGGTAGTTCCCTCAGGCAGCAACTGCATGTCAATGCTTCGACCAAAATCAATCAGTTTGACTGAGGTTGGACAGCTTGCAAACATCTCAGCTGGGGATCTTGCTGTTGCATCTATGACTGGGGTGTTGCGGATCAGGAAATTGTCAGGCTTTATGTCAGCATGAATTATGTTGCAACTGTGCAACGCCTCTAGGATAGACAGGACCTCCACCATGAAATACAGGGCTAGTTCTTCTGGGACAGTCTTGCCAGCAACCTTGTATCTGCAGGTGGGTCGAGTTAATTGTTACATATATGAGAAGTAATGGAACTGTAATAGTTGAGCCCCAAAACAACAGTTGTTTATTCACAGCTTTCATGAGGAATGTTAAAGAATAAATAAACAAATAAAAAATATTTAAGTTACTGGGTACATTAATTAATCTCAATACCCATACCTCTTCACTATGTCCAGTATTGTGCCATACATAAATTAATCTCAATACCCATACCTGTTCACTATGTCCAGTATTGTGCCATACTTGTGGTACTGGTTCACCAGGATTGACCCATTATTATAGAAGTATCCCCTGTTTATTCTCATGACTGAATCCAGCATGTTGATGGATGCATTCTCAGCCTTCAGCCGTTCACGGAGTTCATGGCAAATGTAGAACTCCCATGGGCATGAGGGCTTTTGAATTTTCAGAATCATCTGAAATAGTATAAGTGCTCTTTGAGATACCAATAAAAATAACCATTGTGTGTGTGTGTGTGGGGGGGATCAACATTAATATCAAATGTGTATACATATTTTGATAACCATTTGTATATTGAACTAAACTTTCACATAAAAAAAAGGAAGAAAAAGAAAATGTTCATACATATACCAGGATGCCAGCCTATTAATAATCTTCTCCAGTTTATTTTGCACTCTATTAACATTCACACAGACTGCAATACTGGCCTGTCTTTCTCTCCATCCAACTCCCACTCACCTGCTTCTCGTCATCCTCATCCTCATCATCTTCATCACTGTCATCAAAAGAGGGCATAATGGTGACATTCATGGGGTCGAGTGTCGAGGCCTGGAACACCTTGGCATAGGCTCCCTCCCCTCGTAAGCGCCGCACATGGAACATCTCGCCTCCAAGGGTGATCTTTGAGAAGCCAGGAAAAGATTGAATGAGGCTCATAGGTAGTGTTTTTTTTTTGTGTGATCATGGTTGTAAGAATTCTTACAAGAAGAAAAGAAATGGAGGAAAGGAGTGAGAAAATGGAAAAAGGAATGAAAAAGAGAGCGAGAGAAGAGAGAGAGAGAGAGAGAGAGAGAGAGATGAGAGAGAGAGAGAGAGAGAGAGAGAGAGAGAGATAGAGAGAGAGAGAGAGAGAGAGAGAGAGAGAGATTTAGAGGAAAAAAGAATGATAAGTAAAAAAAAAGTGGGAAACTATAGCAATTTTATGTAGCTATGCTACTCCCTATTTACCTGGCTATTTGGCTTCACTTGAGGTAGCTTTCCCTGTTGCAGCACAAAGCCTCCTCGCTCCTCAACAGGATGTTCCATGTTTAGCAGGAGAGTTTGCAGGAGATCGTCGGCAAAGGGATTGATCACGTCGGGTAGCTTTAGCTTCTGTGTCTGAAAGCATTTTAAAGTGCATATTCAGGGAACAGTAAAACACAGTAAATAGATGAACCGTATTCATGTTGACAAATATGGAAAAGTATGAATGAGAACGAATATCTTCACAATACAAGAGATGTATTTAACCGGTTGCGATTATATCTTCGTCAGAAATACATGATATAATCGAAACCGGTTAAATACATCTCTTGTATTGTGAAGATATTCGTTCCACAGTAAATAGAATTAACATCTCTGAGCCAATAATTGAGGGTGGTTGCTCATCATCATCATTCAAATTGAGAAAAATGTACATTCAACAAATTCAGAAAAAACTCACCTTACAAGCTGGAACATGTTTAAATTCTCTTGCATCAATCCTGGTGGACTCGGCCAGTGATTGTGGCATTTCATCCATGTTCATTAGCATGACGGCTGCTTGGCGTGGGTCAAAATCATCTTTATCATCTGCTCGAAACTGCAGCCAAATGAAAAATAGAAATAGAGCATGATACACTTTCCACAAGACAATCTGAAACCTTGACAGATGTGTTCTTGTCATCTATTTTAGCATATGACTCATCCTCTAATATTGTACAGTACCAAAGGTAGATATACCTGTGTTGCAAAACTTGGTTTGGTTTCAGCAAGGCTCTCTCCTCGAGATTTGTCGGCTAAATAGCCCGATTTGGTGAAGTCTCCCGTCTGAGCAGGTCCTCCACTCTCAAGGGCAAACTTGAAGAGAAGAAAGAGTAAAGGGTAAAAAATAATAAAGCAGGTTCACATGAAAGTAAAATACAGTATTAAACCTGCTTATTATACAAAATTTACCAGCAAACAATGGATAAGAGTGAAGCACATTTGTTTTTAAAAATATAAACAAGATTTAATATTTAGTTACAGATCTTCAGAATTGCATAATCTCTTACAGCTCACCTCTAACTGTGTGTGGGAGTTGTGTCGTGAGCGAGAGATGTGCGTCGTGGACAGACCCCCTTGTTGTGTGATCCCGTGCACGGTTTGGCCTCCAAGACTGGTGGAAGTGGTGGAATAGCCAGAGCTGCTGGAGGTGGAAGACGACCTGCAAGGAAAATGTAAGTCTAGTTATCCTGCACAATTACTGACGAGAATAAATAGAGAAGCAAGAGAAAGAAATTAAAAAGGCCAATATATGAATACAAAATTAAAGTATAACCCTCATTACTAATACAAGATCAGAAGACAGCAAAATAAAAATAAAAACACAAAATAACCACTGAAGCCTTTTTACCTGTACTCTCTTGAAGCCTCCATAATGGGGGAAAGAGCAGGCTTGGGGATGGGTGAGGAGGGAGGAGCTTGCGTGACGGGAGGAGGAGGCATGAGCTCTCCGCTGTCTTCCTTTTCCTCCTCACTTTCTTTGATTTCTGGGAAATGGCTGTCGAGGAAGTGAGAAAAATGAAATAATTTAAATTAGGATTTTTTAGGTTATAGTTATATAAATTTTCAGTTGCCAGAACTCCACAATTAAGAACTACATGGACAGGTTCTCTGTTTCATGTCTGATACAGCTTTGGGAGGCAAATTGAAAAATAATGAAATTATAACAAGAATGAAAAAGCAGATGAGAAAAAAAAGGTAAAGAAAGATCCAGGAAAAGAATGGAAAAAAAGGTGTTGGTTCATTGCCTCACTTGTTAATCTTGAGGACTGCCATGGTAAAGTCGTCCCCATTGGTTGTGGCCTGGGGTACACAGCCAAGCGACCATGGCCCAGGTGTGGATGCCACCTTGGCCATCTTGGCAAAAGCCTCAGGGTTTTTGGGCATCTTCAGGGTCAAGTCAGCCATGTTTCCTCCATTCAAGGGCACAATGTCATCTAGGTAATCATCGTCCTAATGGGAGACAGAAGGGGAGGAAAGGTAATGCAATGCTCTTGTGTGATAGTGAACAAAAGACTGACTACAGATCATTAGCAGGTACACTGAAAAACATTTTTCCTGATATTTCAAAGAAGCAATTATATTACTCAACTGTAGATTTAACATTATTTAGTCTAAGAGTTCTGTAGGGGTATTATCCCCCCCCCCCATTTATTCCATATCAAATACAACAGCACCAAGCCCACAGTTGCAACAATATATAACGATTTCTGAAAGTCTTTAAATACCAAGTTTCACTCTCTCTCTCTCTGTAAAGTAGTCAACTAAAATGAATATACAGAAAAATAAACTTACCCCTCCTAAGTCCCCTCTAGTTCTATCAGCACTACCCACAGCCCCTTCCACTTTCTCCTCCTCCACTTCTGGCCTCTCAGTATCCTCCACAAGCAGTACAGGGACATTGGTGGCAGGCTGTAGGATGCCAGAGGTGCTTCTGAATTCCTTTTGCTGAACAAACCCTGCTGGGGGGTCATTCTCATTGTTGTCGTCGGCGAACAGATCATTTGGGTCAGGTACCTTGCAGGCCTGGGGGGATCAGGGAAAGGTGGATGGTAATTGGTCAGTCTTTTTTTATTTTTTATTTATTTACTTATTTTTTGTATGTAGGTATTTTCTGAGCATCAGCATCACAATAACATGAAAATTGATTTTTATAACAAAATTTTCCTCATTAAGGTACTTTCAAAAAGTGCAGACACCAACCTCAGCATCAGAGAAGATGGCAAATGGCTGGCATGGTTTGGTTTCCTGCTTCTTGGGGGCACTTTCAGCCTCATCAGAAAAGATCGTGAATGGGTCACTCTTCACTGGTTTCTTCTCAGATGTATCGCTGAATATAGTGAATGGTGCTGGGCCCGATTCCTTGCCAATATGACTAGGCTTGCTATCATCCTGCGAATATATAAATAATAACAATAATAATAATGAGTGTTTAGATATTATATGAAATTGGCCACTTCCAGTAACAACTTCAAGCAACAGGCACCTAAACCTGCAACATTTCCTTAATATTCATATATAAACATAAGTACTGGATCACCATACATCCCACTTGTGCCCAGACCTGTACCTCTTACTCCACTTATAGGCACACAAAACACATGGATATGGTTTATTTTTCTCCATCAGTGAAATATACTTCCATGATTCCTCCTCATACTGACCTGGAAGATAGAGAAGGGTGCGCTTGCCTTCGCAGCTGCCTTGGGCTCAGGTTCGGGTGTCTGTCCTAGGCTGTTGGTGTCCTGTTGAAGGTCATCTTTGAAAAGACTCGCCGACCACATCTCATTGATCATGTTCATGGCCATCTTGGTGTTGACAGTGGGGTCAGTAACATTAAGACCACGCGAGTTGCTGCTGGTGCTCAGGTTGGAATTGTCCCGGCTAGTAGGGAGGGGTGCTGAAAGAGTGGGAACATTCACAGGGTAATGCAGAAGAAAGCACAAATTCCTCTAAAAGCATTCATTCTGGTTTTGTACCACTATCAGAAAAGACCTTATTCCTCATTTCAGAATTGAATGCAGCCTGGCAAGATACCTTTGCAATCCTGATCTACAACAAAGTTTACAAAACTTACCTGGCACTGACAAACTGGGTTCTTGTAAATGGGAAGATTCCTTGCTGCAAGGACTGGCCACTGCTGGCTGGCACTGTAGCAATGCACTAGTAGTACTTTCATCCAAAAGCTGTCAAATATAAAAAATCAACCAAATGAATGATGCATAGGACTACTGTATTTACAATAATATTAAAACAAAGCAATATATTCTTATCATTATTTATACTTTTTCTTTATGTAGTGAATTCTGGTCATGATAAAGTATTAAAAAAATAATAATAATAAAAAATACATAAATAAAATCACACACACACTCTTTGTTCCTTTGACAATTGTGTTAAAACCTATCTCATTTGCAGCCAAGACCAACTTACATGAGATGCCACCGAGTTGACAGAGGCATTCACCGACTTGTTAATGGCAATCCAACTGTCGTGATAGATGTTGCGGCTCATATTCTGTTGACGAAGGGGAAAGGTTCTCTACTTAATACATACTGAAGTACATACCAACTGTCTCAGAACAAAGTAAATACAAAATACTTCCACATAAAAATATGCACTTGTTCATGAAAGAAGGCAATCAAGCATACACACTTGATTCACAAGCATGATGCAACACAGAGAAAAGGTGTATACATGAAAAACAATAGATATGCCTGCCTTCTGTCTTTTTCTTCTGACTGAACTGACTTCCAAGACAGGTTCTGCCGGGGAGACCATTTCAGGAGCCTGAAACAAGAAAATTCCTTCATTTTAGAACTCTGGATAATCATAATAAACATACAAGTAAAAGAAAAATTCGCTTATATGAGCAGAGAATGGTTAATGGTAGAAACAAATGTGTTAAACATGGTCATAGAGCACTATGGTAAAGTATTGTGGTGGAAAGGATAAAAATGAGGTAACAATTAGGATAACAGTCAATGTCAATACAGGATACTATGGTAGGGAAAAAGATAAAGAGGGGGGAACAAATCCAGTAAAGCAGAGATTAATAAGGAGTAGAGAGTGTAAATAAAAATATGGATATATAGTACACAGTAGTCTGCTAAATTTCCTGGCCATGTTCCACCTTCTAGGTTTTGAACTAGTCCATACACCACACTACTTCCGCCATCTTCATACTGCCCATGCACACAGACACGCACGCACACACACACACACACACACACATATATAGACACACACACCACACACTTACACACACACACACACACACACACACATATATATATATATACACACACACACACACATATATAACACACACACACATACACACACACACACACACATATACACACACACACACTTATATATATATACACACACAACACCACACACACACTTATTATACACACATACTTATATATACACACACACACATACTTATATATATACACATACCACACACACACACACGCTTATACATACACATTCAGCATACTAATCTGATCATATAGAGATGTTGTAAAGAGTTGGAAGCCACCCAACACACCACCACTGGTAAAAACAAGATCAATTACTTCTAGGGAGATGGAGGGAGGAGAGAGGATGGAATGAAAAATAAACGAAGGAAAAGAATAAATAACACACATGAAATTTACCCTTAACTCTGATTCCTCTCTCTTTTGCTGCGACAAACGTTCCTGCAGCAACTGCTGGATCATCTCCTCTTGCTTCTTGAGCATATCCTGCATTTGTTGAAGCTCAGCTGAAATGTAAATAAATACATATTCTACTTCTGCATGGAAACTTGAAAACGGAAATTCACATATACTGATACATAGAAAAAGTAATGAGCAAGCATAGTATACAAATAGTATACAGTGTTCAAACAGCTATACTAATGCATACTAACAACGATCCTATGCTCACCATTCTTTTTCTCCTCCTCTTTACGCTTCTTGAAAAATTTTGCAGCCCGAAGCTCTTCAAAGCTGAACTCCTCTGTTCCACAATACACCTGTGTAAAACATTAGAGGAAGAATATGTAAAGTTATAAATACAAAGATATACAATTTTATTTCAATAACATACAACACATTACTTCAGGATTCTATTCAGAACTACTTTAAATGGGTTCTATCACACTTCCCATCATAAATGTGAATTCTCTCTTTCTTCTTTAGCAACACGTATGAAACAGTCTTCTCCAAAGTTTGGGCACAGCACGGCAACAAGGGATAGAGCCCTACACGCGAGTGATAACGACTTCTTTGTGTTCTTTTCCTCGATTACTTACCTTATGTTTGCAATACTGTGGTTGGACTTTTGGGTCAAATGGCTCTGAGATAAACATGGGGACATGCCACTCCTCAAACTCTTTCTTGCGAATGCTTAGAACATTACTTGTCTGTGGGAGTTTTGCTGGGGTGGTTGTTGGCTGCGAGAGTTGAGCATCTTCATGCACTGTGTGAAGATGACAGAACATATCATAAATATCAGATTTACATGGCCATGTGCACATATCTTTGCTGAGAGTAATACACTATCAACTTCATGGCAACACAAGCTTGAAAATTTAGGCTCACATGAGAATGCAGGCTTTTGGTATTTGTTGAGGTCTTCCACAGGTACAACAGGAGTGGTTCTCTGGCTAGCTTTAGCCTTTGACCAAACACCAGGGTCTTTGACATTCTCCTTGTTCACTGCTGTTCGGACTGGCAGAACTCCTCCCGAGGCATCTCTCTGAGAAGCCACTGACCGGCCACCACTATCCTGGAAATTTTAGATTAACAGTTAGTGAAGAAGAAATTATAAAGTTGAAAGTGATAATGATAGGGAGGACTGAGGTATTGTCAGACATAAAAATTGGTGATAATGACAAAGAAGTTAATATTTTTTGTAATCTGATTGCAGGTTATGGGACTCACAGTTGCAGTAGATAATAGATAACTGTACAGCAGTTGACAGAGTAAGAGAATAGAATGAAAAGTTTACTGCTGACAACCAAATGCCACCCAAAGTTGATGAATGAAAGAGACTAATTGGTGCTTAATAACAAACATGTGTCAAAAGCAAAAGAGGCTACTATCTAGTATCTTGAAAAGAAATCCTGGCTTTCCTTACAGCCTTTACATTGAGTGAAAGATCAACATCAAACGAACCTAGAGCCTCAACTCACTTGGAAAATCTGAAATGCTGGTCCACCACGGTTGCTTGTGGGAGGGGCAACAGCTACCCTTCCTGCAGACCCAATGACATTAGCTCCCACACGCTCAACTGGGACATGGTGCTTGCGTCCCTGTGGTTTCAGGGAGGCGAGTGCAGCTCTTTGGGCTTCAGAGGAACTTGTATCAGTCTCCACCAGTTTTCCTTCCAGTGTTGAGCGGGTAACTCTCATCTGGAACTTTCTGGAGACACAAAGGTAGATGGTGAGAATTCTGAAGATCATGTGTGTCCAAAACATAAATACATACATAAATGAACAAACTTGCTAATCAAATATGACCAAGATATAGATAAAATTATTTTTAATTAACACTGATATATCTGAGAAACTGTAGGGTAGTTAGCCCATCTTTTAACTTCAGTTGAAAGAGAAAATTCATACCAATACTCCATATTTACAAAAAATTATGGAAATTTTAAAAACTAGTACAATGAACTAAAGTAATACAAATGTCTTACTTATGTGCATCTTCCAGGACATCAAATGGCTTAGCACCACTCTGGAGACCCTTCTGATAAACTGCATCTGCACGTTTGTAGTTACCCACTTTCTCAATCTCCCATGCCCAGCTCATGTAGAATTCGGCAAGACCTGTACACATTCCTTTGGCTTCCAACGTCTGATAGATTTCCACTGGACTGGGACATAAATTTGCCTGTGAATGAAGACTTCTATTAAGAAATGGTCTACCCTCTCCAATGAAAAGATTATGGGTCTTTCTTCTAATTCAGTTTTAAATAATCTAAGGTATGCAGTGCACCATTAATCTGTAGCAGTTACATAACTTTTAGAAGGTGCCACACTTACATATTTAATCCAGAGTTCCAAGAAACGAGAGTCATTGTCATATTTCTTGTGGGTGTCTTTGCTGGTATGCAGGGCCGTGACGCATTTTTCAATGAGCTTTGTGATGTTTCCCTCCTTACCTCCTTTGGGGTAGTTTTGCTCAACCCAAAGGACGTAACGGTACCATACATCTAAGGGATCATCTCCAGAATATGTGCGTAATTCCTCTTCAAAAATGCTGTTGAGAAAAATGTAAAACTTTTGTGCACCAAAGATTAACATGAAATATGGTAGCTAACTAAACATTCCATGTGTAATTGGTAAGTCAGAAAGAAAGAAAGAAAAAGGTTAGATGAATTTAAACTTTTTATGGGAACCAACTGGCAAAATGTCCTATTTTCTTATGGTACCCAATGTACCAGAAAAAGGAAACTTATGGCACTCAACATGATCATCAGAATTTCACTTGTCATTCTAGTCAAGTTGTGGATTTCAGGAACCTAACCCCCAACATTAAGAGATTCTTAAGCTAGATAAAATCTGGAGAGCTATTTGTACCACAGGGGAAGAGGGAACAAAGTATGAACCACAAAGTTGACAACAAGTAGCATTTATGTTTAAGAATGTTGGTCAATGTTGATTTAAAGTATGTACATAAACCCTTACATGGACCACTATAATGAGTACAATGAGAAATGAGACGCAAGATAACTGTGAACCAATTCTTTTAAACAACTGGTACTTCTTAATGTGGATAACAAATTTCACTTGTCAAATTCAGAAGTAGTGCGCAACATCATAGCTTGAAGATTTTTTTCTATTGACTATTGAAATGAATTATGTGCAAATGTCTTGAGGGTAGACAGCACAATAATAATAATTCACATCTGAAGACAAGAAAAATCACTGTATATGTTAGCTTTGTGTATCTGGTCAAGAAAGAGTTTCTGCATTGAACGCAATGGATTCACTTAATTTCTTAAATAGCCATGGTCATATCTTGCTAAAATATCATTCACTCCTCAAGAATAAAGAGGAGTGGGGTCAAAAATAACAATGACCATAAATATTAAAAAGAAAAAAGCAACCACATACTGCCTCTCTGCACTCAGCTTGCGAGCAGCACTCTCATCGAGGGCCACGGACAAGACAGTGGCCTTCCGTCCCTGCTTCAGCGGCTGGATGTTCTCCTTACTCAATTCCCAGCGGTTAGCAGCTCCCTCTGCCTCACCCATGTTGGCCAGGATTTTCTCTCTCTCTCTGCTGGAGAAATGAAATTTAGCAAAAGGAAATGGTGAACTATTAGGTAATTCCTCTGGATAATGGAGGCAATTCATATATACTGATACTTTTTAAATAAATAAATATCAATATATACATCTAAATTGATGAATCAAAAGAGGTGCATATTGATGGTGTGACCTTTCCTTATTTTTGAAAGTGAGTCATGTCAAAATGCCCTATACAGTACTTTGGTTTTAATATTTTTTTGAAAACAATGTTACTGAACTGTTTAAAAACTAAAAATGGCACTGAATAAATACAACAGATATATACAATTGTTTACAAACTGCCATTTAATAGTATTTTCTTACTAACAAGAAATAATTAGCATTAGACAGTTATCTAATGCTTACTTCTCCATTAAGCAGCGAACTACAGGCCTGTGCTATACCCTATCAGGATTTCTAAAATGGGGGAGGGGGGGTGGACACGAGCTACATGGAACAGCTCTTCAAATTGTGAAATAAGTGACAATTAAATGCTGATGTTTTTCTTTAAAATAACTTGGTACCACATCTCCGAATATAGTGTTGGGTATTCCTCATATGAAAACTATAAAGAGGAAAAGAAACAGGTTTTAATATACCCTTTTGGTTTATTTTTCAAAAAGTTGAGAAATGTAATGCACAATTCTGAATAAACGGGTATTTCATTCATTTTAAATTTAAATGTTTGTGGGGGATATAACTGTTCAACTGACTGGTATTTAAATTTCCAGCCTTGCATAATAGCATGTATGAGCAAGATTATATAAAAAAGGTAAAATAAGCCCATAGTGTTAGCATTCTAAAACATCTATAAATTAATGGCAAATCCTAAGATGAAGTAAAATACTGTCTTGTTTATCTAGGCCTACTTTCGAAAAGCACATTTATAAAAAAATAAATCGAGAAAATAAAAGCAAAACAAACAAAATAGAGCCAGACACCATAGCTTTTAGATCATTTCTAAAAGCTATGCTCTTTTCAATAAACTTGGGTCAGGTAAAACGAACCAAATGACCTCACTTGACCCTGGCAGGAACGTCAAGATATTTAAATCCCTAAATGGGTTATGATTACAAACTATATCTTTATATTTCTTTGTCCATTTTGCGAAGCTTAAATCTTTAAAACCGCCAAACCATGGAGCTCAATACCAACAGTTTCTAATTGTTCAAACGTCAATTAG